GTGTGTGTGTGTGTGTGTGTGTGTGTGTGTGTGTGTGTGTGTGTGTGCAACCTTTACTTACCAACAGGCTGCTTTCTTCCTCTCACAGTATGCCTTAGATCAAAATCCTTTGAAGGGGGAGGCAGAGGATCAGGGTTCGAATCCTGTCCCTGCCAACCTGTGAGCCTTTGCCCTCCATTGGCCTCAGTTTCCCCATCTGTACAATGACGGGGTTCCTTCCTGCTCTGTCCTATGACAAGGCAGCAGAGTTAGAGACACTGGACAGCTCTTTCCATCTTCAACCTGACCTTTATTGGAGAGTGGGGGCAGAGACAGGCGGGGGGCCGGGGTGGAGTAGGGGTCAGTAGTGGCCCATGCGCTGGACTTGCTCGTAGTTCATGTGCGGATGGCTCTCGCGTAGGCGCAGGCGCAACACGTCATAATCCACTTGGTGACCGATCTTCTTGTCCCGCAGACACGTGTTCAGGTGCTTCCTGGTGGCTATCAGCTTCTCCAGGTCCTTATCCATCTTGATGGCGTGGCGCGTCAGCTTTTCGGTGCCCTGTAGGGAGGGGCGGGGTGGTGGTGGAGGGAGACACGGGATGAACAGCGGAGAAGGAGGTAGGAAGCCCCCTCTACGTGAAGGATGATCCGGGATGGGCTGGAGAGAAAGACCTGCAGCCAGCCAGGTGTGAGACTTATGGAAAAAGGGAAGGGAGCGATTGCTAGCAGAGAGGCAATGTGTCCTTGTGGCTAGAGAGCCAGGAAGATCTGGGTTCGACTCCCACTGTGTGACCCTGGAGAAGTCACAAACTCTCAGTGCCCCTTGATACTCTCAGCATTGCAGAATGGGCACCTATCTACATTAGTGGAGGGAGTTTCTTCAATGGGAGTGACCCCATCGAATCTGCTCCCTGCCTTCCCAAACCAACCAACAAACAAAAGGAATGGTGATTGAGGAATGACTACCTGGAAACTACATTGGGAAGCCTAGACTCAGACTCCTGGATTTGCTTCTGTGTCTCTTATTCTTCCCCAAAGTTGGAGTCTCCACACCCTTTGCCCAGGTTGGAAAAGAACAAATGAAAAGGCCAGGGATGCTACATTTCTTGAGGGCCATATGTCCCCAGAAGGCCCCTCCCCTTACAGCAGGGTCTCCCCACTGCATGCTGTCATACCAACAGGGCACAAAGGAAGACGAGGAATCAAAAGGACCTGCAGAAGCTGACTCAGGCCCTTTGGAAGCTACTGACAGTTCTGACTTCACTGTCAATCAAACAACAACAACAAAAAAGGCTCCTCCCAACCATTTGGTCAGCCACGGAGAATCAGTTAGGGAATGTTGACGCGTGGTCCCGTCTCTTCTCCAAGGCACTCTCCTCACATGTCATCACAACTGTTCAAGAGGCAGCTTTCTAGAGCCCACCATATCACTGCTCTCTGGTGTTATCCATGAGAGGGGATGTCATCTGATCAAGCTGATAGAGTCTATTCCTGTGCCAGATCCCCATTAGCCAGTCAGTCAAGAAGCATTATTAAGTGCTTCCTATGTGCCAGGCACTGTGCTGAAGCACCAGGGCAAAAGACAGTCCCTACCTTCAAGGAATTCATGATCTTGGGGGAGACAAGCAAACAAAAATGTACAAACAAGCTATATACAGGATAAATAGGAAATGAATCAACACAGGGGAGGCACTGGACTTAAGGGGAATTAGGAAAGACTTCCTGTAGAAGGTGAGATTGTACTTGGGACTTGAAGGAAGCCAGGGAAGCCAGGAAGTAGAGATGAGGAGGGCATTCCAGGCATGGGGGTCAGCCAGAGAAAATACCCAGAGCTGAGAGACGGAGTGACTTGTTCATGGAAAAGCAAGGAGGCCAGTGTCACTGGATTGAAGAGAATGTGGAGAGGTATAAGGTGCAAGAAGACTGGAAAGGTAGGTGTATGTGTGTGTGTGTGTGGGTGTGTGTGGGTATGTGTGTGTGTGTGTGTGTGTGAGAGAGAGAGAGAGAGAGAGAGAGAGAGAGAGAGAAAGAGAGAAAGAGAAATTGAGAGTTAGTTTATGGAGGGCTTTGAATAACAAGCAAAGGATTTTGTATTTGATCCTGTATGTGATGGAAAGCTATTACCCATGCAATTAAAATATCCCCAAAACAATGGAGGTCAAAAAAGTTGTTGACTGGAAAATGGGAAACTGATAAAACTAATGAGATTGATTGTGATTCTCATCATTTCATAGAGAATCATAACTGACAGAAACAATTTCTATCAGGTAGTCAAAAAAGCAGTTAACAAGTGCCTACTATGGGCCAGGCACTGTGCTAAGTGCTGGAGACAAAAAGAAAGGCCAAAGACAATCCCTCCTCTCAAGCAGTTCACAGTGTAATGGGGGATACAGTATTAAAGCAACCATATACATAAAAGATATGTGCAGGATAAATTAGAGATAATAAAAAGAGGGAAGGCTTTAACATTAAAGGAGATTGGGAAAGGTTAGGTAGGATTTTAGATGGGACTTGAAGGAAGCCAGGAGGTAGAGATGAGGAAGGAGAGAATTCTAAGTATGGGAGACAGCCAGGAAAAATGCATGGAAATGTGGAATCCTGTACAAGGAACACTGAGAAGGCCAGTGTCACTGGATGATAGAAGTACGTGGTAGGAGGGGCTGTGTAGTGTAAGAGGATTGGAAAGGTAGGAGGGGGCCAAGTTATGAAGGTCTTTGAAAGCCAAGCAGAGGATTTTATATTTGATCCTGAAAGCAATAGGGAGCCATTAGAGCTGATTTACAGGGTGGGGGGGGGTGACATGGTCAAACCTAAGATTGAAGAAAATTAACTTGATAGCTTAGTGGAGGATTAACTGGAATGGGAAGAGACTTGAAGTAGGGAGATCAACTAGCAGGCTATTGCAAATCATCCAGGAGTAAGGTAACGGGAATCTGCACCAAAGTGGTGACCATGTTAAAGGAGAGGAGGAAACATATACAAGAGATGGAGGTAGAATTGGCAAGACTTGGCAACTAATTGGATATGATGGATGAGAGTGAAGAGTCAAGGATAGCTAGCCTAGGTAACTGGGACGGTGGGGGCACCATCAATAGCAACAGGGAAGTTTGGAAGAGAAGAGAGGTTTTTGGGAGCACTACAGAAATGCTAGTCATTATTATCACCATTATTATCAATATTAAGTGAAACATAAAAGGGAGATGTGTTTGCCAAAGGGGTTCACCTCTGTCTCTAAGGATGTCCTATGTAGACTCCAAATGGAAGAAGGCTTCCTTGGAGATACTGAGGTCTTCCAGCTGTTCCTTTTTTTAGGTGATGTAGCAATAGAATAAAACACTAGACCATTACAGGGCTTCCTTGATGAGATCCATGGCCACTCCAAAGAAACTGACCTAACAATTCTTGCAAAGAAAACTGAGTGGCTAAAGAATGCATTAAGGCCTGAATTACGACATGCAATTATCTAGATTGAGTTAGTTCATCATGACTTATGTACTGATGGATCTCAGCTCTAAATCTAAGATCTATGATCCTATCCCTTTAACTCTTCCCCTTCTCCTACCTCTCATACCTAGTCAATGACTAAGTTTTGTTAATTCCATCTCTGCCACATCTCTCCAATGACTATCCTCTCTCTAGTTTCATTGTCATCATTCTAGTATAGGCTGTCATTTCTACCTGCCTGGACTTTTGCAATATCCTTCTTACAGGCTCTCCCATCTTTTTGTTATAATTGATGACTTGTTGGTAAGGAGAGAAAAATTAGGAAATAGATTTATACTGTATTTTCCCTTCCTATCTGTCATTCATCCTATTTATCCTAGGGACAGCTAGGTGGTGCTGTGCATAGAGCACTGGGCCTAGAGTAAAGAAGATTTGAATTCAAATGTGACCCTTATTAGTTATGTGACCCTGGGCTGATCATTTAATTCCAATGTGCTTGGCTTCATCATCTGTAAAATGGGGATATAATGGAGAAAGAAATGGCAAACAACTCCAGTATATTTGTTCAGAAAACCCCATGGACTAGTTGGATATGACTGAACAACAACAATAAAAAATCCATCCTTTACACTGTTAGAAGAATTTTTCTTCCCATTAGATCTGGCCATGTCACTCCTTTGCTCAAAAATCTTTAGGGCCTTTCTATTGCCTACTGAGTAAAGTTTGAACTCCTCTATTGACACCATTAAAAACCCTCCACAGCCTATTGCATCATCCTATCGTATCAAACTTAACTTATGACTATTTCCCTCCAGCCAGACTAGACATCTCTCTGCTCCATGAACATACATACACACCTGTGCCCTCAGGCCTCTATGCTGTTACTGAGAGGCTTCCCCATACCTATAATGTTTTTCTCCCTCTTTCTCCCTTTACCTGTCAGATTCCTACCTATTTTTCAAAGCTTACCTCGTGTCATTTTCTTCTTCAGAAAGCCTCACAGATTCTCTGCCCACCCCTCCTGCTGTTAATGACTTTCTTTCACAAGTGTTTTCACCTGTCTAATGCACGTACTTTAGGACACGAAATATATGAATTATCTGTGAGGGCAAGGGTCATTTCTCACCTAAACTTTGCACCACCCTAACCCTAAATGTGCCTGCTATAGGTCTATAAGGCCCTTCACACAGTAAGCATTTGATAAATGTTTGTTGATTGATTGAGGAAGGAAGAGTTTGGGGAAAAGAGGGAAGAAAGGGGCTGTAGAGGAAAAGGAAAGATGCACTGGAGAAGATGGGAGAGGAAGGAGTGGAGGGGAGGGAAAAGAAGGGCAGGTTCTGTAGATGGGAGGGCGAGGTTGTACCATAGAAAGGTGGTTGGCTTCTGGAAGCTGGGTGCCAACATGTCTCTGGAACACACGCACCATAGGCCTCTCTAGCTTCTCTCGGGTTTCTAGGTGTTTTTGACACACAGGACCCTGGGGACGGGGTATAGTGTTATTGAGGATTGAGACAGCCCCTCCCCCTCCATCAGGCATGATCTTCCCCTGACCTCCCTCCACGGCTGCTTTCAATGAAGGCCCCTCCCTACCTTGTTGAGTCCCTTTGTAATAAGAATCTCTTCCTTGAACTTCTGGCATCGGTGGATAGTCCCTCTCGTGAGCCCAGCCATCATGTTCAGCCTTTCCTGAGAGAAGACAGTGTGGTGCAGTGGATAGGGTGCTGATCCTTAGATTCAAATGCTGCCTCATATGCTAGCTGTGTGACCCTAGGCAAGTCACTTAACCCGTTTGTACCTATTTTTTCACCTACAAAATGAAGGAGTTGGATTCAATGACCTCTAAGGTTCCACCCAGCTCTAAATCTATGATCCTGTGATTGTATTAAATTGCCCAGGGCCTCACAACCAGTTTAATACACATATGTAGGCACTAACCCTCCTGTGTTCCATGTATGGTACCATCTAGCTCCACTTACTCCCAACTGTCCTCAAATCCATTTCAAACACAACTGCTAACCGTTCTCCAAACCAATTCCACCCAAGACCCCTAATCAACTCCACAGTGTCCCCAATTAGCAGCTAAATGCCCCCCCAAAATTAACTTCACACATAAATTCCATGTGTAGCTCTCCAGTAGCCACCCAAATAACTCTACCTGTACCCTTTTACTAGACCTCTACCCCAAAATCAACTCTTCACATGTCATCCCCATCTAACTCCACAGCCCCACCTAACTCCTAACCAGCCTTCAAATTATCTCTTCCCTCAAATCAATTCCAAATATGGCTCCCACCGAACCTTCTGTATAGCTTTCAACCAAACATCTAAACATCTCTACATATATTCACTACTAATCCCCCAGTACCATACCAATTGACTCTTCACATGGTAATCCATTGAGCCTCTATTTTGTGGAAGGGCCTAGGCTAGCCTTCACTCTCCTCTTGTCCCTGTTCCTGGCTTCCAGACTACAAAAACACATCATGTACTGGGTACTTTCATTTCCCCTCCTCTCATCCCGACTCTCACTTTTCAGCTCCCTTTTGCCTGTTTTCTTCACCCATTAGAAGGTAAGCCCCTTTCGAGCAGTGGCTAGCTTTCTTGCTCATATCTCTATCCCCAGCTCTTTGCACAGAGCCTGGAATAGAGTAAGTGCTTAATAAAAATTTCCTTCCTTTGTAATTCCCATCCAACTCCAGTCCCTGAACACGGCCCCACTCCTTTGCTCAACTCACCTCGAGTTGCATGGTTTCTTGCATCTTTCGGGACAGAGAATTCTCCACAGACTTGTTGACGTGCAGTTGCCAGGTGTGGGCGTGACGTTCACTTTTTATCATGTTCTCCACTACTGTTTTTCCCTCCACCAGTAGTCGTTTGGCATCATTCAGAGCCAAGTTACATTCTGAGGGGACAGAGGAAATGTCTGTTGGAGGAGTTCTCCAAGACAACTGAGTGTCCACCATCTTCTTCCCCACCTCCCTCCGTTTATGTCTACAGAGGCTTATCTGTGTCTGTGTCTTTCTCAGGTATCTCTGTCACTCTTTTTCTGTAGGTCTCTCTTAACAACCAGACTTGGCATCCCCAAATCTCTGCTTTGCTATGTCTAGGCCAAGGGTGGGGAACCTGTGGCCTTGAGGCCACACGTGGCCCTCTCGGTTCTCAAGACCAAGACTGAATCAGTCAAAGGCCGCACAAGAGGACCATATGTGGCCTCAAGGGTACAGATTCTCCATCCCTGGACTAGGCTGTATGACCTTAAACAAGTCACTTAAGTCCTCACTTTGCTTTCTTTAAAGAGGGTGGAAAATAATACTTTCTGCTTAGTTCACAGGATTTTGGTCAGGAATGTAAGTGTAAATTTTCTGTGCTATAGAAATGAGGGCTTTTATTAATTACTGTTATTACTAGACATGATGCCAGAAGGGGTCAATGATACTTGGGGAGAGATTATTGAGGACATGTTCACAAGCTCACTGGGAGCATTACTGGAGAGAGCAGATGCTCAGAAAGTCATTTGGAGTACTAGTATGTGGTTCCATGCTCACAGGGTTACTAGGAGCATTCTGGGGGGCCAAGGTAAGGGGGGGTTTGGATAGGAGAGGCTCACAGGGTCAATGAGGTAGTTCCTGAATCAGAGTTTCTGAGTTGGAAGGGACTTGAGTGGCCTTCTAAGCCATCCCACCTCTGAAAAAAATATCTCCTAGCGGTCACTCAGCTTTCACCTGAAGACCTCCAGTGAGGGGGAATCCCCTGTCTCCTGAATCCGTGACACACTTGTATAGTTCTAACGTTTAGAAGGCTTCTCCTTACCTCATGCCTCAATTTGTCTCTTTGTGACTTTCACCCAGACTCTTTGTGTACCACAGTGCCTGGCAAATAGCAGGTACTTGAGAAAAGTTGATTTTTTTTGATGATTGAAGGAGCTCGGGATGTTTAGCTTTAGGAAGAGAAGACTGGGGTGGGGGAAGGAAGGGAGGATGATAACTGCCTTCAAGTATTTCAAATATTGCCATGTGGAAGTGTGAGATTACACTTATTTTGAAGCAGCACGTGGGATAAGAGTGCAGGACTTGGAATCAGGATGAACTGAATTAGAATCCTGCCTCAGACACTTTTACTAACAACAACAACAGTAATAATAGCAATAGCTAATTTGATATAGTTCTTTTCAGGTTTGCAAAGCACTTTGCATATGCTATCTCATTTGATCCTCACAACAAACCTGGGAGGTAGTTGCTATTGTTATCCTCATTTTACAGATGAGGAAACTGAGGCAAGATAGAGGTTAAATAATAATAGCTAAGAATAATAGATAGCACTTATATAGCATCTACTATATGTCAGGCACTGTACTAAATGCTTTATACATTTTATCTCATTTTTGTGCTCACAGCTAGTGGTGCTATCATTTATCCCCATTTCATAGTTGAGGAAACTGAAACAAACAGAAGTTAAGTGACTTGCTCAGGGTAGCACTGCTAGTAAGCATGTAAGGCAGGATTCTAATTTAGGCCATTCTGATTCCAAGTCCAGCACTCTTATCCCATAAGTCACTCAAATTTAAGTCCAATCTCACTTCCACATGGCAACATTTTAAATACCTGAAGGCAAATATCACCTTACTCCCTTCTCCCCCATCCTGGCTTTCTCTTCTCAAGACTAAACATCCTAAGCTCCTTCGATCATCAATAAATCAACTTTTATTAAGCACCTACTATTTGCCAGGCACTGCGCCAAGTCCTAGGGATACAAAAAGAGGCAAAAAAAAAAATCCCTGCCTTCAAGGAGTTTACGATCTAATGTGGGAAATATGCAAACAAATATATACAAAGCAAGCTTTAAAATAGGAAGTAACAGAGAGAAGGCACTAGAATTACGAAGGGTTGGAAAAGGCTTCCTGTAAAACATGAGATTTTCATTGGAACTGAAAGGAAGCCAGGGAAATCAGTAGGCAAAGTTGAGGAGGGAGGAGCATTCTAGGCATGGGGGACAGCCAGAAAAGATGCCAGGAACTGAGAGACGGACTTGAGACTCCTCCCCTTCTGGTGGTCCTCCTCTGGACATCTCCCAGCTTATCAAGATCCTTCCTAAACTGTGATGCCTTGAACCGAATGCAACACTTCAGCTATGATCTTGCCAGGGAAAGTGGAATTATCCATCGTCTCCTTATCCCAGGAGGCTGTACTCTCTTAAGACAGCAAGAGATCAGGCTGGTTTTCTTGGCTGCCATGTTAACACTCCTGGCTCACACTGAGCTTGAGGCTGATGAAGCTCTCAGATATTTTTCAGACCAAATGCTCTCTAGTCACACCTCCCCATCTTGTCAAGTCTCACAACATCATAGAATCCATAGAGCAAGAGCTTGATGATTGAAGGAACTCGGGATGTTTAGCTTTAGGAAGAGAAGACTGGGGTGGGGGAAGAGAGGGAGGATGGTAACTGCCTTCAAGTCTTTCAAATATTGCCGTGTGGAAGTGTGAGATTACACTTATTTTGAAGCAGCACGTGGGATAAGAGTGCTGGACTCAGAATCAGAGGACATCTAGTCCAACCCCTTCATTTTACAGATGAGGAAACTGAGGCCCAGAGTGAGGATGTGGTTGGCTCAAGGTCCCACAAGTAGCAAGCAAAAGATCCAAGGTTTAAACTCAGGCCCTGTAACTAGAGTTTGGCGTCCTTCCCATGGTACCATGCAGCTATCTAGCAAGGAGTCCCGTATCTTTGACTTCTGAAGTCGATTTCCTGAACTGAAGTCCGGGACTTTTACATTTATCCCTGGAAAACTCCTGACAGGGAAACTCCAGCCACAGATACAGCTTCATAAGTCATCAGGGTTGAAGAGTTGCCTGGGCACTGAGAGGTTAATGGCTTCCCCAGGGTACATGCTATTGGAGAGGGTCACTTTGGGTATTAGTGGGAGGGCAGGTGCCCACAAACTCATTAGGAGTAGGATCACAGGTTTAGAGCTGGAAGAGACTTTAGAGGCCTTCTGGCCCAAAGCCCTCATTTTGCTGAGGAGGAAACTAGACTCAGGGTCACACCACTAGTAAATGTCAAGCAGAATTTGAACCCAGATTTCCCTGGCTCCAAAGTAATCACTGTCTTCACTTTGCCATGTTGCCTTCCTGATGAGGAAAGGCCACTGACCACGTTACTAGATGCTCAGGGTTACTGGGTGTGGGGTGGGATACAGGGATGTAAGTCTGTCCAGTTCCTTGGGGACTGTGTCTCAGGCAAGTGAGGGAAGAGTGTCCCCACACTAGGGCAGGACGCACCTGGGGGGTTGACCCCCACAGGGTTGACTGGTGGGCTGGCGGTACCCTGCACCTTGGGAGTGTGGACTCGGCTGATATTGATCCAGGACTGACGCCCAGCCTCCACCAGCGCTGCATCCAAGCAGTGGTTCATGAGATCCACCACCTGGAGCCGCTCTTCACAGCAAAATGTCAGATCATCACGGCATTTGGACAGGGCCTGGAGGAGGGCAAAGAGGAGGGCAGGTCAAAAAGGTCTTTGGGCAAGTGGGGAGAAGTCATAGGGGTCTTCAGTGGGCAGAGAGGGAAAGGCTGGGGGTGGGATAGGGGCTTCTGGGAAGAGACAGATCAGGAGAAGATGAGAATCTCTCCCTACATTTCTCTGACCTTCCTCCTTGGTTCTACTTTTTGGGAGGATGAGAAGGCCACCTCACACTGGACCCAACTCACACTGAAGTGAGATAGATCTAGTATAAGAAAACACCAAAAGGTGGGAGGGAGGGGTGGATGACAGGCAGCTTTGGAGTTGGTGAGACCTGGCTTCAAGTTCTGTCTCTCATACCTACTGGCTGTGTGACCCTGAGCAAATTATTTAAATTCTCAGTGTCCCCAGGCAACTTTCCAAGAATAAACATTAGTAACAGGTTGCAAGATCTGCATTAGCAGAAGGAGCTCTTTCAGCAAGAGTTTCCTAAATTGATAAAATCGCAGGTCTACAATTGCCCCCCCCCCAATCCCTAACCAAAAAGACCTTAGTTTTATGTGTGTGTGGAGCCCCTCTTATTGCTACCAGGACTTCAGAGAAGACCCTAGTGGCTAGGAAAATGGATGCTGAGGGACTAGTGGACAATAGCTAAAAAGACAGCTTTAGTCTCTGGAGGGCAAAATTTGAGGGACATGGAGTCTTAAGATCTGAATTGGGTACCTGCCCTGTCACTTACTGGCTTTGTGACTATTTAGTCACTTCACTGCCCCACTTCAGTTTTCCTCACTTACACATTAGGCATATGGATACCTACCTCACAGTGCTGTTGGGGAGAAAGTGTTTCATAATCCCTAAAGTCATAGCAATGAGAATGTGAACATATTCTGTATCACAGCCATTTAGGAAGCTGTACCCCCCCCCCCCTTCCTTGACTCAAGTGGTCAGTTGGACTAGAATCAGAGATGTCAGATTTGTGGTGTATTTGACCCCTGGGCATCTGTTTCTATTCTATGTATCTACCACTGAACTAGATGACCTCTAAGGTCCTTTCAACCTTAAGGATTTCTGCTTCTATGCTATGTTACCTACTGAACTGGAATCACTTGTCCAGAGGAGGGCAACCAGATGCTGGAGTATTAGGGATCATGCTGCATGAGGATTTGGGGATGTTTAGTCTAGAAAAGGGAAGACTCCAGGGGAACATTTTAGCTATCTTCAAGTGTTTGAATAATAATAATAATAATAATATCAAACATTTACATAGTGCTTACTATGTACCAGATGCTGTGCTAAGTACTTTACAATTATCATCTCATTTCATGCTTACAACCTCCCTTGGAAGTAGGTGTTATTATTATCCCCATTTGACATATAAGGAAACTGAGGCAAACAGAGGTTAAGTGACTTGGCCAGGGTCACACAACTAGTAAGTGTCTGATGCCGAATTTGAATTCAAGTCTTCCTGTCTCCAGGTCTACTGTTCTGGACTGTGGTGCTGTGCCGCCCAGCTGCCTCATAAAAAACTTTGAAGAGCTGTCATATAGAAAAAGGGTTAGCCTTGTTCTGCTTGGTTCCAAAGGCTGGACCCAGTTGCTGCAGGTGGAAGCAACAGAGCCAGATTTCGGTTTGATGTAAGGAAAAACTTCCCAACAGTGAGAGCTATGCCAAAGAGGAATGGGCTGTGTCTGGAGCAGGGCCCTTCTGCATCCCTAGGGGTCAGTAAGTGGAGGCTGGAGGTCCATGTGTTGAGGTTATTAAAGGTAGATGCTTGTACAAGTCCAAGTTAGATCTCATGGCCTCTGGGGCCCCTTCCACCTCAAAGAGCCTGTGATTGTGTTCCCACGTTGGATTTTAAACTCTTTGAGAAGATCTACCTAATAACTGTTCTTGTATGGCCTGTGCTGAGTGCAAGGCTCTCTACATAGTGAGCACTTAATAAATGACTATTGGATTGGATTGACAAAAGAACAGGAATGATGCTTTGTTTGCTTTTTATGTGCTCAATAGCACTTGGGATTTGGGGCACAATAAATGTTACTCATGATTACTCCTGGATGCTTCCTGGTTTGTAAAAAGCTCTACTTATAACATCTCATTTGATTCACACAAAGGTCAAGCAGTCAACAAATCCTCAGGAAATACCTACTATGTGCCAAGCACCCTACTAAGCACTGGGGATACAAAGAAAGGCAAAAACGTGGCCATTGCTCCCCACAGGCTCAGTTTAATAATAGAGGGGGAAGGACCACATGCAAAACGTAGCTGCTTACAAGATATATTCAATGTAAATAGAAGATCATCTCAGAGAGAAGGCTCTCCAAACTTTGGGGTGGGGGCTAGAAAAGCCTCCTGCAAAAGGGGACGTTTGAATTGAATCTTATGGGAAGCACAAAAGCTAAGAGGCAGAGGTGAAGGGGCGGCGCCAACCAACTGTGGGGTAGTGCAAAGACAAAGAGACAGGAGGTGGGAGTGTCAACTGGGAGGAACAGTAAATAGGTCAATGCAGCTGGATTTTAGAGAACCCACCTGGAGGGTGGTAAAGTGTGCAAAGACTGGAAAGGGGCCAGGTTATGGAGAACTGTGAGTACTAAGTAGAGGATTTTATATTTGACCCTAAAGGTAATAAGGAGCGATTAGAGCTCACCCAGTAAGGAGGTGATGTGGTAGGAAAATAGCTAGTAGCTAAGTGGAGGATGGATTGGAGTGGGGAGAGACTTGAAATAGGTTGTCCAATTATAAAGCTGAAAGGTGATGAGGGTCTCTACCAGGGTGGTGACAGTGTCAGAGGAGAAAAGGTGGGGTGCATACAAGGGAAGTTGTGAAGGTGGAAATGACAACATCTGACAACAGATTGGCTTATGTGGAGTTAGCCAGTGTGTAGAATTGAGGATGACACTGAGGTTGTAAACCTGGGTGTCTTAGAGGATGGTGGTGCTGAGATGCCTACAGAATGTGTCCAAAAGACGGTGACATGGGACTGGAATATGAGAGAGAAATTAGGTCTGGGTATATTGATCTGGGAATCATCAGCATAAAGATGATGCCTGAAAGCATGGGAGCTGTTGGGATCACCAAGTGAAATAGCAAAGGGGCAGAAGAGAAGAAGGCCTAGGACAGATCCTTCTGGGATACCCACTGTCCCTCCACTGTCTAGTGTCTCCACTTGGAAATGTCATGAGACTACAGGCCTCATATGGCTTGCTGGTCTGCAATGCTGTCCTGAGGCAGTCACAGGGATACAGGTTAATGACCATGGCCTGGATGAAGATTGATCTAAAGAGAATGGAAGGTGAGCAGGAAAGCTGAAAAAAAGAACCAAGAGAGCAATGTCACAAAAACCTAGACGGGAGAGAAGAGCCAGCAGGAGAGGTGATCTGCTGTGTCAAAGGTGTGCACACAGGTCAAGAAGGATGAGAACTGAGAAAAGGCCATTATGAATGCCAATTAAGAGATCACTCACTGGTAACTTTGGAAAGAGCAGTTTCAGCTGAATGATGAGGTTGGAAGCCAGACTGCACAGAGTTTAGCAAAGAGTGAAAGGGGAGAAAGGGGAGGCCCCTTTCTCAAGAAGTTTAGCCAAGAAGTGTAGGAAATATAGATGACTCAAGTGAAGGAGGAGAGAGTGAGAGAAGAGTCCAAATGATATTAGAAGAGGAGAGAAAGAGCTCTCAGTAAATAGCCTCAGGTTTTTCAGTGAAGTATGCTGTGAGACCCTCAGCTGAGAGGTTGGGCAAGAAAAAGTTTGGAAAATCGACTGGGCAGTGGGATAGCAAATCAGGGATCTGTAAAAGAATTGCCTTGCTACTGGGAGGGTCTGACTGAGATTATGTAGCATAAATTTGTAATGGACCCCATCAGCCCAGTTTCTCCAGCTCTGTTCAGCAGAACATGAATAAAGCAAGTATCCCCATTTTATGACTGGGGAAACTGAGGCACGGAAAGAGGAAGTCACTTGCTCGAGGTTTCCTAGGCAGAACTCAATTCCATGTTTTGGGGGGGGGAGGGGAAGGAGATTCCAGGGCCAAAGCTCTTTATAGCATACCTTGATAATATTCAGAAGCAATAACCAATTAACTGCTCTCCCCAGATTTCCCTCGTGTGTTGCCAAAAATAACCCCATCCCAAAGGGGCAGGTGGAAAATAGAGGAGAGAAAAAGAAGCCCTACAATTCTCCTACTTTGAGCAAGATCTCCGAGGCCTCCATATCCTTTTCCAGTTTCCTTTTCAGGCCCTGAAGCTCCTCTTTCTCCCACAGGAGCAGAGTGTCAGCTTTGTCTGGGACCTAGAGAAAGAGAAAAGGAAGAGATGTCTGCCCTATAGAGAAAGAAAGGACCAGAGGGGATGGAAATATGATCCCTTGGGTGCTGCTCCAGGAAGATATGCACCACCTGAGGGTTTAAGGAGAAGGAAGCTTCTGGTCTCTTGTGTGATGAAGGAGTATCTGATTCGGGGAATGGGGAGGGAGGGGCGATAAGGGTCAGTGAATTTAGGACAGTGAGGAGAAAGTGTTTCATCTCCAAGGGGTTGTAGGTGACTGGCAGGATTGTGTGATGTCCTGGGAGTTTGGGGGGAGGACTCTTTTACCTCCCGGAGGCTGTGAGTGGCTGGAGGCTTGTCTGTCCTCCTGGGAGGTTTTTTTTTGGGGGGGTGGGGTGAGAAAAAGATTGATCTATATGCTGTGGCCACCTTGGGGTGACCTCTTGAGAATTAGATGGGGGTGTGTAAACCGACATCCTGGAGGTTGTGGGTTCTAGGAGGGGCTGTCTGTCCTCCTGGGAGTTCGAGTGGAGGGTGTTTGACCTGAAAGTTTGATGAGGGTAGGGACTATCGGACCTCCCAGACTTCTGGGTGTTTGGAACAGTTGTATAATCTCGCTGTACTGGCCTGACAGCTTCAGAGGGAGGTTTGAAGAAGAGAGGGTCTCACCTTCTCTGAGGCAGGCCGGAAGAGCCGGATTTTCCTGCTCTGCTCATTGATGAGCAGACCCTTTCGTATCTCACTGAGCCTACGGTCTGTGGTTTCCCTCTGCCGAAAGACGGCCCGGAGCTGCTCATTGATTTCCTGCTCCGCCTGGCGCAAACGAGCGGCCAAGAGCCTGACACCTCGGCCATAGTTCTGGATATACTCATTACTCTGCATGGCCCGGGCTTCCCTGTTCAGTGGCAGGGGGATGGTTGCCAGCCACGCAGGGGGCTTAAGCTTCTCCTTCCAAAGGGTGACCCCATCCCCTGGGGGAGGCTGCTCCACTGTCCCGCCGTCCTTGAGCATCTCTGCGCGGAAACGCCAGGGTAGCATATACGTTTTTCGGCACCGGTTGCGGTCAATGTTGGGGTCTGAGATGCTTTCGCGGGGTTGCCACACGGACAGCGCGTTTGCGCCGCATCGCTCCGTCAGCTGCTGGGCTGCAGTCACTGTATCCCGAGTGTGCTGTCGCCATTCTGGGGGGCCCACCCGATCTTCAGGAGCCGGCTCCAGGGGATGCAGGAACACAGGCATGGCCCTAACTGCCGCCCCCTACCTGGGGCCCCACAGTAGGGGGACGGCAAGAGACTCCTTCCTTCTCCTTCAGATGAAGTGAGTTCAATCCAGTCCTCCCGTCGCCATGGTGACTGGGGCTACAACTCAGGGAAGAGGTTCCAGAAGTGGGGGAGGGGGACACTTCCTCTGCCCTCCTACCCCTCCCATTCCCACCCCAGACTTCCCTTTCCTCCTGTCCTTCTCTTTCCATACAAGGCAGGCACTCCTTTCCTCGTCCCTGCATCTACTTCCATGAACTCCTCCTTTGCTGTGGTCCCAGAGGAAGAGCTGACCCTTCTTCTTGCCAAGCAGAACCAACTGTGCCCTTGATTCCATTCCTGCCTGTCTCCCCTGGAATCTCTCTCTCTCTCTCTTTCTCTCTCTCTCCTTTCATTCTTCAAATATGCTCAAATCTTCCCTATTCTAAAAAATGCCTTTTCCTTCACTGCCTCCTTTCCTCACCACCCACTCACCCCTTAAGCCACACACCCCTCATACAATCTAGGATTATTCTTTTTTTTTTATTATTTTAAGGCAGTTGGGGTTAAGTGACTTGCCCAGGGTCACACAGTTAGAGTCAAGTATTTGGTCTGAGGTCTGATTTGAACTCAGGTCCTTCTGACTTCAGGGCCGGTGCTGTACCCATTGCGCCACCTAGCTGCCCCGTAGGGTTATTCTTTAAGCTATCCTTTTCGCTCAGCCCCTCACATCCCTCAATTGTCAAATCCCCTGGATTCTAAGCCTGCCATTTGTTTCATAGGTGAATGAGAGGTAATGCAGCAAGGAGAACTCCATGGTTGTGAATATGGGACACTGGGTGAATGGTGGAGCCAATGACAATAAAAGTAAAATCCAAAGGAAGAGAAGCTTGGGTCGTGCATTTGCCCCTCCTCTAATGTCTTTCGCTGATGCCTCATCATGGCACGGGGGTGATCTTTGGCTCTGGAAGGCTATTCTATGCTGGTGGAGCCCAGGCTCTGGGACATCCTGTTACTTTGGAAAAGCTTTGAGTATGGGCCTGGTAACATGGCTTGTACCTTAATGGCAATGGAGAGCCACCGAAGGTTTTTGAGCAGGACAGCAACCTCGTCAGACCTGCACCTTAGCAAATATATTTCGGCAACTGTGAGGAAAATGGATTGGAGAGGAGAGAGATTAGAAACAGGGAGACCGATAAGGAGGTTATTGCAACAGCCTAGGTCAGAGGTCATGAGGACCTGAGGTAGGAACCGAGTAGAGTGAAGAGAATGGAATGGAGTTCGGAGATGGAGATGAGCGATATTACAGAGTTGGAAACAATAATACCTGGCAACTGATTGTACATGGAGTGGTGAGGGAGAGGGAAAATTAAAGAATGACACTGAGCTCACAAACCTAGGTGAATGGAAAGACAATGAATCTTTTTGGCAGAAATTGGAATGTTGGAAAGAGAAGAAGGTTTAGGAGAGAAGATAATGAATTCCATTTTGGAAATATTGAGTTTAAGATGGCTATGGAAATATCCAGGAAGAGGTGCCCAGTAGGCCATTGGTGATAAAGGACTTGAATTCAAAAGACATTGGAGCTCCAGAGATAGATTTAGGAGAAATCTGCATTGAGAGGATACTTGAAACTCTGGGAATAAATGAGGTCCAAAGGGGAAAAAAAGTTCGAAGAAGTAAAGGTGGCCCAGGGCAGTCTTGAGAGATATGCATGTTGGCTTCTTGTCAAGGGTTCTCTCTGCTCCCCCAGAGCCTGCCCTGGGGAAAGGTACAGCCTGTTGATCACAAGTGGACTAGGGCGTGACAACCCTCCCTATCTCCCATCCAGAGGACCCTTTCTTTGCCTGCTAGGCTTCTCAAATTTTCCTGCATGCCAAGGCCTGGGATAAGGAGGAGGATGTGGTTGAAAGTGTGGTTCAGAGAGACATCTGATAAGCGACAAGGGAGTGCTTCAGAGTAAGTCCATTGGGTTTGAGAGAAGATCAACACATCTCTTGAAGTCCCTGAGTAAGAAGGGAGTGGTTGGGATGGAGAGGAGAGTGAACCGGGTAGTAAACTCCTTGAGAAAGGAAGAGAGTCAAATTCAGGAAGGCCTCGATTCAAATCCTCCTCAGACACTTATCGACTTAGTAATCGTGGGCAGATCGTTTGATCTCCTTCTGCCTCTTCATTTGTAAAATGGGTATAATTAAAAAAAAAAGTCCATGTAGCACTTGTTTCACAGAGGTGGTGTGAGGAATAAATGAAAACATGTATGCAAAGTGCTTTGTAAAACTTAAAGTATTATTAGTGTTGTTATGTAATGAGAACTAACAATAATAATCAAGAATTAACTAATAATAATAGCTCACAGTGCTATTACATAATACAGTGCTTACTATGTGTCAGACATTGTACTAAGAGCTTTACAAATTTTATGTCATTTGATCCTCACAATAACTCTGGAAGGTAGGTGATATTATTATCCTCATTTTATAGAAGGGGAAATTGAGGCAAACAAGTTAAATGACTTGCCCAGAGTCACACAGCTACTATGAGTCTGAGGCTGGCTTTGAATTCAGGTCTTCCTTAATCCAGGAAGTATCTATCCTTAAAAGAGAGGCTGATGATTAACAGTAAAGGGAGAGTCTGTAAGCGGCAGTGAGGAGAAAGAAATTTGCTTGCTTCTCCTCTTCCTGGCCCAGTGTCCAGTACCAAAGGGACGGTGGGGCAATGGATGGGGATGCGCTGTGCTCCAGGGAGGACTCTATGACCTTGAGCACAGGAAGGTTGTTGGGACATGTGACACAGTGCTCTAAGACCCAGGGAAAGTTATGAAGGATAAAGACCACAACGGGATGGGAAGGTAGAGCAAGATAGGGCCTCCCCAGAGTCTGGTCTGAGTCATATAGGTCAATGGAATGAACATTAAACGAAGAGAGATAGCTGGGTGTTGGTAGTAGAGGGAATATCTGGAAGCCTTGGTGAGGAACAAAGAGCGGGGAATGAGAGAGGAAACATCCAGTATCCAGTTTTCATGAGTGCAAGAAATGGAAGAGGCAGGATAAGAAGTATATTAATAGAGTAGGGATTTGAGAATAGCCTGGCATCCTGGGATTTGTGGCTCAGAAGGATGGAAGAGAAAGGAAGAGACTGGGAAGGGGCAGCAGGGAAAAGAGGAAGCTCAGGTGGATGATTTAAAAGGGCTTAAGTCAGGGTGGTGGTCATGGAAGTTGAAAGGCTAGGTTTTATGCTGAGTGGGAGACTAAAATCTATTGTGAGAATACATATATATATATCATACATACATATATATATTCATATATATATATTCAACTCTTCCATGTTGTTTAGTCATGTCGATCTCCCTATTAGTTTTTTTAAAAAAGTTTTTAGGATGCGTGGGTTTTTTTTTTAAAATACATTCATTTCCCAATATTCCTGTTTAAAGAAATTCTTCATTTTAACAAAGAAAACCAATTTCACGAGGCCAGTTGATGCAGAGATCATGTATGTATGAGTCTATACTTGTTTATCATCATTCTGTTTCAGCACCTGTCTTCCTCATCACTGTCTTTAGTCATCTTCCCCTCTTCTTCCTCATTAAAGTTGTTTCTGTTTGTATTTTCAGAATTTCACTCTTGAGAGCTTCCTGAGGCAGAGTTAACTCTATACTTCCCAAATCCCAAACATTCTCATGTCTTCTGTATAACACCAGCCATGCCCCTAAAATCTTCAGTTTATTTCCCAAGATTTTATGATCTTCAGCAATGTTTTCTAGGGATGAGGATTTAGGGGGAGGATTTTATAGAATTACAGGATGCCAGAGCTGGAAGGGATCCTTAAAGGTAATTTAGTGTATTTCCCCATACGTGACCTGATCAAGGTCACACAGCTGGTTGGTGTCAGAGTTAATTCATATTCCCATCTCTTGACCACTTTCTAGCTACTTTGCCCTTTTCCTTTTCTGTCAGCAAAGCACGGAGTTAGTTTCTACATTGTCCCTCTGCAGTTAATTATCAAAGATCCCTTTCCAAGGCCCCTTGTGGTTTCTCTTCTGGGGCATCAGGATCTACTTTTAGGAAATGCTTCCCTTTCTCCTTGAGTTAAGCATATTGGTGGCTCATGCATTCCATGGGGATGTGACCTAGAATCAGTTCTATCTTTGAGAAATAAGGTCACTTCGCTCTGAAAAGAGTCAAGAGCCAGTGGGGGACCCTGAAAGTGCAGTATGGAGATATAAGATGACTGGTCTGCGGGTGGTAAGTAGGTCTTCGGCCTCCCTCTCACAGCAGCTCAAGAGAGCACATGTCTGTGATCTTAGACACACAGTGGGAAAACTAACAGAACTTTCAGATATTTCTGCCTTATCAGTGTTTCTCGTGTTGGGCTCTGTGGACATAGCAGAAAGCCAACATCACTTTGCATCTGGAGTGAGCCAAACATGCAGTTTGCCCAATTCACAACATGAATTGTTATCTTTGTCTCTTTCTTCTCTCTCGTTTCTCAGCACTAATCTGACACCAAGTCCTATCAATTCCACCTCTACAACTGCTGTCCCTTCCAACCCCCCCCCCCCCACTGCCTTCTATTTCCATGGCTACCATCCAAATTAAGACCTGCATTATCACCCACTTAGACTATTTCTGTAGCCACCTAACAGGTATTTCTGCCTCCACTTTCTGCCCCTTCAAATCCATTCTTCTTACTGCTGCTAAAATATCTTTCTTACACATTGATTTGGTCAGGTCACTCCTGGTTCAAAGTTCCTCAATTGCTTTCTGCTATTACCTACTGAACAGCTTTTGAATTTCTCTCCTGGTATTCAAGTTCCTTCATAGTCTGGTTCTAGATGACACTTTTAGCCTCACTTCATATTATTCCCTTGTGTCCCCTTCCCCCAGCATGCACTCTAGGCTCCGGCTAAACTTGACTACTTTCTGCCCTCTAAACATTCTCATGTCTTAGTGAATTTGCTGCTGCTGTTTCCTATGTTTGGAATGTTCTTCCTCCAACTTTCCATTTGTTGAGTTCCTACTCATTTCTAAAAGCCCAAATCAAATG